TCAAGTATGAAAGTAGCAGTAGTGGCAGTATTGGACAGGCAATTGTTTAGGGCTCCAACTTCTAGATACAGGATTTTCCCATGGGACATTTGCTTAGTGGATTAAAGGGTTGGTTTGGAAATTTGGAGTCATAGTATTTTGAGCTCAATGCATGGCTTCAGCCATAACTGCAGTAAGAAAGGAAAATGACAGTGAAAAAGATCAAGTATGAAAGTAGCAGTAGTGGCAGTATTGGACAGGCAATTGTTTAGGGCTCCAACTTCTAGATACAGGATTTTCCCATGGGACATTTGCTTAGTGGATTAAAGGGTTGGTTTGGAAATTTGGAGTCATAGTATTTGTGAGCTCAATGCATGGCTTCAGCCATAACTGCAGTAAGAAAGGAAAATGACAGTGAAAAAGATCAAGTATGAAAGTAGCAGTAGTGGCAGTATTGGACAGGCAATTGTTTAGGGCTCCAACTTCTAGATACAGGATTTTCCCATGGGACATTTGCTTAGTGGATTAAAGGGTTGGTTTGGAAATTTGGAGTCATAGTATTTGTGAGCTCAATGCATGGCTTCAGCCATAACTGCAGTAAGAAAGGAAAATGACAGTGAAAAAGATCAAGTATGAAAGTAGCAGTAGTGGCAGTATTGGACAGGCAATTGTTTGGGGCTCCAACTTCTAGATACAGGATTTTCCCATGGGACATTTGCTTAGTGGATTAAAGGGTTGGTTTGGAAATTTGGAGTCATAGTATTTGTGAGCTCAATGCATGGCTTCAGGCATAACTGCAGTAAGAAAGGAAAATGACAGTGAAAAAGATCAAGTATGAAAGTAGCAGTAGTGGCAGTATTGGACAGGCAATTGTTTAGGGCTCCAACTTCTAGATACAGGATTTTCCCATGGGACATTTGCTTAGTGGATCAAAGGGTTGGTTTGGAAATTTGGAGTCATAGTATTTGTGAGATCAATGCATGGCTTCAGCCATAACTGCAGTAAGAAAGGAAAATGACAGTGAAAAAGATCAAGTATGAAAGTAGCAGTAGTGGCAGTATTGGACAGGCAATTGTTTAGGGCTCCAACTTCTAGATACAGGATTTTCCCATGGGACATTTGCTTAGTGGATTAAAGGGTTGGTTTGGAAATTTGGAGTCATAGTATTTGTGAGCTCAATGCATGGCTTCAGCCATAACTGCAGTAAGAAAGGAAAATGACAGTGAAAAAGATCAAGTATGAAAGTAGCAGTAGTGGCAGTATTGGACAGGCAATTGTTTAGGGCTCCAACTTCTAGATACAGGATTTTCCCATGGGACATTTGCTTAGTGGATTAAAGGGTTGGTTTGGAAATTTGGAGTCATAGTATTTGTGAGCTCAATGCAAAGCTTCGGCCAAACCTGCAGTAAGAAATGAGAAATGTCAGTGAAAACGGTCAAGTATGAGATTAGTAGTAGTGGCAGCATTAGACAGGCAATTATTGAAGTCTCCAAGTTCTAGATTCAGGAGTTTCCCATGGGACATTGGCCTAGTGGATTAAAGGATTGGTTTGGAAATTTGGGGTCATATTATTTGTGAGCTCAATCCCTTATAAAGTCCTAGATTCCGTGGAAACAGAGTGAGCATTAACTGAACAATATTAAAGGGAACAAGATGAGATATCCCTAGACTAGAACAACAGAATGAGAACAATCTACTATTTCTTACCGTAAATAAAGAAATCACATAAAAATTCTCTGAAGCTTGCCTGAACTGACAAATGCCTGAAACAGGTCAGAGGGCACAGTGGTTGAAACGTTGCAATAATAATAACAAGGATGAGGATGTTACTTTGAATGTAAATATATTTAAAAAATATAACAATATTATAAATTATAATAATATTATGACTACCAAATTATTTAAACCTAAATCTTTTAAATGTGACAATTCTGCAAATACTATTTACAGGTAATACAGATCTCTCAAAGAAATGACTGCATTACAAGAAATGGAACATAGCCTGGACAGGTATCAGTGCTGGCAATAATGGTTTAGTCCAGATATGAAATTGTTGATCCCCACTTATGTATTTTTGTGTGTGTGTATGGGGGTGGGGGAGTGCTGAAAAATTCTTTGGCCAAGTAAGAAGCTCTTTCAAGTAAATGAAAATTCTGATGTTTAGGGAATTGTGATGAGTCAATAAATTTTCCATATTCCCTCATATTTAATGACAAGACATTAAAATTCTAGTTTTAGAAAGTGGGTCAGGTCAATAATTTTTCAGCACCCTCTTGTATAAACCTATATTTATTTAATTATTTATCATTATGAATGTGCAAATGGTGTTACTGTTATCAGCGTGGTTGATTGATTGATTCGTTTTTTTACAGTTTATCAACATTTTGCAGGTTATTTAAAAACCAGAAAATATTTTCTGAGTGTAAGACTTTTTTGGATATAATGATGATTTAATGATACAAGCTTTACTAATTTACCCATAACTGGGGGAGAAGAAGTAGATTTATACCTTTCCTAAGGGAATTTTTGTAATGAACCCAACTGAAATTGGAACTTGCCTCTCTGATTATTAATTCCGATTCATTATCCATGACACTACTCACACAACCTAGCTAACAGCTCCTTGTATTTCCAAGCAGTCACCCATCTAGATACTAACCAGGTTCAACATTGCTTAACTTCAGTGATTGTAAAGGAACTGGTGTTTAAATGCTATGTTAGCAGCTTGGAATGAGAAATTGGGGAGCTGAGTTCAAATGCCAGACAAATTTGCTATATTCACTTTCATGCAAATACCCTCAGGAAAAGTATGGATTCATCTTTTTTCCTCCTCCAGCTGAAGATTAAATAGTAGGATGAACCAGTCAGTCTAGGAGAAGGAAAACTCTAAATCCCCAAATCCAGAGTGGGAACATGTGGTCTAAGGGAAGAAAAATCCCAAAAGAAACCAACCTTTTCCCAGAGTACAGATGTTGGCATGGTTGCCTGACAATCACAGTAGCATGAAACTCAAGTAGCAGTCCAAAATCTGTTTATTTCTGAAATGCTGACATCAGGAAGCATAATCATTGCTCTGTCTTGGTAACCTACTTTTTTTACTGTTTGTTTGTTATGGTTTGTTACTGTTTAGGTAGGCGTCTGTCTTTTGGTCTTTTTTTTCTTAGTTTATGCTTCAATTCCTTTTTATTATATCAGTTTCTTCTAGGCTTTTGTTTTATTGGTTGTCAGTTTTTCTTTTTGTTCAGTTATCTTGTTTTGGTCACCTGGCAGGGTTTCTGTTGGTTATATATATATATATATATATATATACACACATTTATCTTATCAGATAAAATGCTGACTGAAACACTACCCTGGTTTCAACTGCAAAGGTGGTATATGCAGTAAATTAATCAGAAACAACACAAAAACTTAAATGCTTTAATGCAGTACACACACACACACACACATATATATCATTATTCTAATTATTTTTGACAATTTTGCCTCAGGTATGGTTAATGATGAGTGCCAACTAATCTCAAATCCCCAACATTAACTCAAACCACAAAGAGTGCTCTTAATAGTAATACTCTCAGATTTTAATTGTCACTTTAACTTTGGACCAATGATTTGGATTAAATCTCTCATTTTCATTTCTTTTCTTAGTTTTGGGGCATCAAACTCATGATGAACAATGAGAAAAGGCTTCTAACCAAGATAAAAGTCAGTGGTCAGGAACTTAACACAGTGAGTCAATTCCAATATCTTGGGTCAATTATCAGCAAAGACGGCCTCAGGATAGAAATAGTTTCAAAAGAAGCATAAACAATGCCAATTGTTGTAAAACTAAGAAACATCAAAAAAGAAGAAAATTTACCTGAAACCAAAGACCTGACTGTTGCATCTCTTGGCAATCTCAGTCGTTCTGTATGCCTGTGGATTTTGAATATCAACAGCAGAATTACGATGAAGAATCCAAACATTAAAAATGAACCATCCTAAAAATCTTGTATATGGACAAATGACACTGCATGAGACACCATCAAACAAGAAACAGTCCTGTTGCAAGACCTAATAACCATAATCAAGAAGAGAAAGATGAAATGGTATGGATGCATCATAAGAGCCACTGCCATCCTACAAGGTACCACCTAAAGCAAAAGAAGATGCAGGCAGAGGAAAAAAATGATCTGACAATGTCACTGAGTTGACTGGAAGATCATTCACAGAGACTCAGGTATTGGCATACAAGAGAGACATATGGAGGGAGCTGGTCAGGTGCTCACATGCACTGTGTCCCTATGACCATATCTGGTCATAGGACTGATGATGATGATGATGGTTTCTTGGGTGAGTTCTGAATATTTTTCCACTTTTTTCTTTTCTTTGCTAACTCTGGTGGTCAGCTGGAACAAACATATATCAATGATGTGAAAATTTTTAAGTGCTAGAAATTATCTTTGGAAACAACTATTGAGCTTTTGGTCTGTGTTCACATAACCTAACCACTTGTTTGGTCATCAAACCCACCCTCCTCATTATATCTACTTTACCTTAAAAAGTAAAAACAAAAAAAAATGGTAATTTTTTCATACTTGTAGTTGATAGTGTCATTATCATTCCAAACATGCAATGCATTATATACATGTTTTCATTATATTTCTTTATCAATAAATCTCTTTTAAGTAGTTTTTGCATTTATTTACTTACTTATGCCATTCTTTTCCAGGCCAAACTAGTAAACTCCGTTGCTATGCAACCAACCTCTGACCCAGGTGACTGTTTTTTACATGAACCAATCACAAAGCTTGTTACAAAATGGGTCAGCAGCAGCAGCCGCCGCGAACGATTACTGTTGTGAGTCAAGTCAGTGAAATGGAGGAGGCTTGGCTAGCCTGGGGATTTCAATTCTGTACGTCTTACACTGCCAAAAGCCGTTCTATTTTACATTTCGCAACAATTAATAGATGTATTGTTGATCATTCAAACTCTTTTAAGCACGCTAGGCTCGTTGCATCCATGCTTCAACTATGCTAGATATGTTAAAGTGCCGTCAAGTGAACACGACAATATCCATATTGAGTAAGTAGAAATAATTTGGCATCATTTTTCTCATATAAACACTTTGAAAGAAAATCCATTTGCATGCATATTCACAACTTTCTGTACCCCAAAGTGTGGTTTTTGAATTATATTTAATTTTTTTTATCGTTGTCTTTAAAATGATTTCAATTAAACCGAGAAATTAAATAAATCGCCTTTATTTAAAAGACTTCTTTTTAACATCACATGTAGAATAAAATGAATGAATCGAGAAAATGGTTCAATGTCTGTCAGGATTTTCTTCATTGTTTTTCTACATTTAAGCAACAGATCACTTTGAAGCATTTAAAACCTTTACAATATTGCGATTTCTAGTTTTGATTACGTTTACTTGGCATATGTAATCAACATTTTTAAAATAATTACTAATAATAAAATATCGTAGAACGTAGACTATTTAAAGAAAATAAAATTAGGTTTGTTGTTTTTTTATTTTTTACTAAGCGTGGAATTTATTATTAAAAATAAAATTCTCTAAGGAAAATAACAAAAACAGGTAATATGTTTTCAATTTAAAAGATTTATTTCTCAACAGTAATTATGCATTGCACATAAGAAAATATATTTATCATAAAAATGAATTTATTTACATTTTTTTGTTATTTATTATTGAAAAAAACTTAATTTTGAATTAATATTCAAAAATCATAAAAAATTATCGAAAATAAATATTTTATGTACATTTAAAAATGCGTAATAAAGAAATATTTCATAATAAAGAAATTATGCTGCTGAAAATATTTAAATTTTTAAATATTAATTTTGAATATTGCTTAAAAAATTATAAACGATCATCAAAAATGAAAACAAATATTTGAAAATCAACATTTTTTTTTACAAAACCTGAAGGTGCTCGGAAAAAATAAACTTTAATTCAATTGAATAATAATTGATTTTTAAAAAGTAAAAACGAATGTGTGCACTGCACATGAAAATGTTTATTGTGCTTTAGTGAAATAAACAAAGATTTAAATCGTAAATTATAACTAAATCGACATTGATGATGACAACAAGACAAGAAAGCTTCTCTCATCAAGCAAGAAGATGTGATTATTATTATTATTGTCGTCGTCGTCTTTACATCACCAATGATGTTGTTGTGATTGTTCGTCATTACATGCTTTCTTTACAAACCTGCGATGTTGATAGTCATACGTTGTTGTAGAGGGCATAGCTTTATTTTTAAAATCTAAAAATGGTTGCAAAAATTATTCTGACTGTCTCCAAGAAGGAGAAAAAGGCAGAATTATTACTCTTACCTTATTTTGTGGAGTTATTTTAAAAATGAAATGGATATTTTTTGTACTCCAATTTCACCTTTTTCTCTACTCGATCGACACACAAAAAACAACCACAGTTGTTGTATCATCATTTCGACTCCAGCCTTGATTTTCGCAAAAATATTGATTTTTTTTTTTTTTTTTTTTTCATACAGGTTAATGATTTTCAACTAATCTCCGTTCCCCTTTATTTATTTATTTACCTATTAGGGTTGCCATTGTATAGACACACGTAATAAGTAATTGCATATTAAAAATAAAAAAAATACGACTACTAAAAAAAGAGTAAAAAAAAACAAACAAAAAAATCCTCACCTGTAGTAAAGTTCTTCCCTTACGTCACCTTTTTTTTTATACTTTATTTGATGTCATCGTGAATGAAGCAATACCTTTTCTTAGGAAATATACTCAGTAATTTTGATTATTTATTTTTCGTTTTTGAAAAAGGTGCAATAATTTAATTTAAATATTTAATAATTTAATAATTAATTCTTCCTTTAAAAAGTTACAACTTTACGAGAAATATCATTTTTCCCCATTTAAAAATGCAACTCAAAATGTTCGTTCACTTGAACTGATTGGAAGTGGGTGTGGCTTTTACCTGGTCTCATTATTAAAAAGACAAACTGAGAAAATAAAAAGAAGACTAAAAATTTCACTATTTTTTTTTTTATTTTTACAGAAAAATACAAGTTGTGCTAAAAAAAATATTATTAATTATCAAATTAATGTTTTTTTTGTTTTTTTTTCTTTGGTAAAAAAAACTCTTAAACGTGGTAAATTGAATTAGTATTCTAGCCCCTACGAAGATAAAAATATAAAAAAAAAACATATTTTTCATTTGATCATTAAAAAAATAATAACCCCCTCCCCCCAAAAAAGTCACTGTCAGTCTGGGTAAATAAACAACAATAAAAAAAATAGCATTTTTATTTGACAAAATGACGTCTTATTAATTTAAAAATCACGATTTAATTTTTTTTTTTTTTTTTTTTACCAGTATAATTGATTTTTCAGGAAAAATAAAGGTAAAAATAAAATAAACAAAAAAAAAAGTCTGCACACTGAAGAATGTAATAAAAATCCCTTTTTTTTTTTTTTTTTTTTTTTTTAAAGTTATTTTTTCCGCGGGAATAAACTACCACTTTCCCAACGAAATCGACAATGACTTTTTTTATTTTTCCTTTTTTGTTTTTCTTTTATTGTGATTATTTCAGTTTTGCGTGTTTGATCACGTGACCCTTTTTGAGGGACCGGAGGTGGGGGTATTGAATATTCCAAAAATATGTTTTTTAAATGCAGTTTCCAGTAATCTTCTATAAAAATGAAAAAAAAAGTTATAGTTTACACACTTTAGAAAAAGATAATTAAAATAACATGGGATTTATTTTTTAATTAAAAATAAATTAATTGATTAACTTAATTATAAAGCCACTAAAAAAAGTAATCCAGTTTTCCAATTCAATTAATTCTTTAAACAAAAAGTATAGGAGTAGGGGAGTTGATATTAAAGCCCTGTCTAACTAAAAATCTTTTTTCCCATAAATACAAAAGTAAAAAATAAACAAACAAAAAATAATAGCACAATGAAGGGAAAAATTTATAAAACGCAAACAAAATAAAACTGCAAATATGGTTTGTAAATTAAGAAAAAAATGAAGAAATGAATAAATAATAAAAATAATTGTGGTATTTTGAAGAAATGAACATTTTTTAAAATATTTCAACTATTATTGATGACCTAAAAAAAAACTTATTTCAATGTCTAATTTTATTTTTGTTTGTTTAATTCAAATTAAATAATTCTCAATCAACCATATCTCTTGACATTCATTAGTTTTATTACATATGAAATAAATAAAATGAAATTGTAACTTCTTTGTGAACAAAAATAAGAAGCAATTGCTAAGCTGAATTTCGGAACTGAATCTGAACTTTGAAGAACTTAGGATTTTTTTCTCATTTGGTTCAATCATACTGCTTGTTATTCAGAAAATAATGTATATAATTTTTTTCACCTTCACTCATACTTTTTTTGAGATAAAATATAAAATTAGTGATTATTTATTTTTACTTAGTTCACTCTTCTAATTGCTTGCAAATTTATTCTCTTCCCAGTTAAAAAAAGGAAGCAAGAAGCAAAAACACAATCTCTAATTGGGACTGGTATGAGAGAGAGTTCAATTTTGGTTTGGACAATATTTTTTAAAAGTTCTACACATTTCTTTCCAAGACACAAATTAATAAATCTTAGAATACTGCAAGTTGATAGTTCTTTATCGTTAACTTTTATGGTGTGACTTGACTAGAATAATATAAAATGCCCTAGAAATTATGATTATTTTATAAAAGTACTTAATGAAATTATTTGTTATATGGTTCAACTCAAGTTGGCATAAAATAATAAATTTCACCTGTACCTCCAATTGTTTGTAATTAAACTTGAAAACAAACTTGTTTTTCCAGGGCTTTTTTTTTTTTTTTTTTTTACATATTGTATTTTGAAGATTAAATTTTTAGACATTTTTTTTTTGCTTGTTTCTCATATTTTGAATAAACTAAAAACATTTGACGCAAACACATCAGAAAATGGTCTTCCATGTTTGTAGAACGGTTTATACAGAAATGTGGTTCTTTGTGTGATCAATCGCCACTTGAAAACTACGCTTTTTTTTACTTTTTATTTTGTTTTCATATTTTCTTGGCCCTGTGAAAAGTCAGCTTTTTTGTAAGAATATATTTTTTTATTTTATTTATCTACTGGAAAGTATTTTAATGTTTAAAAAAAATTATGACTTGTGTCAAATTTAAAATGACCTAGGTAAAATGTTTGGATTTAAGTTGAAAGCATAACTTTAAAAATATTAATTTTGTATACTTTTTGATCTACTTTCGTTTTCAATTTTATTGTTTAACCTTGACCTTAGAAATTAGAATTGATTGGATGCGTATATTCCTCTCTCGTTTTGATTGGTTGATTCTATACACACCCCTACAGATACTGTCCACATTTTACAAACTGGATTTCAATCATCAATTCGTAAATTTTCACTTATTTTCATTATTCAGAAAGGTTTTTATTTTGTCTATCCTCAATGAAATTCAACAGAATTTACACATGGAAAGGTTTATCATTCTTGTAAAATAGAAAACAACGAATAACGTACGTGACGAGTAGTCTGAATGAAATTCTGACAGAACTGAGAACAAGGACAAATTGTCCTTGTTTTGTTATCTGTTAGTTAAAGAGACAAGAGGAGTTACTACAATGAAATACAGGAAATTGTAGAGAGTCACAATCGCTCATGTCCTGAAGCGATATAACATATATAAAAGAAGCAAAAATAATGATTTTGTCGAAGATTATATATTCAGGAATATTACTTTGTAGTTTGTTGTAATGCAGAAAACTTTCATTTCCTTTTTTTAATTTCTAGTCTTTTCAGTCTCCAATCTTTTTCTTTTAACACTTAAAAAGTTTTTTGTTTTTTTTAATCGTTTTCCATGTTTTTCATACCGTCATTTCATAAATTATTATTATCACTTAACAGCAACACGTTAGTATATCTGAATTCATTTGTAATACTTTTTTTTAACTTTACGAAAGTAAAAAAAAAATCCTTTTCTTAGCAAAACAGATTGCTAACAATATAGTTACAGGTCTCATAAAAAATAGACTTTCTAATCAAGGAAGATTAT